CTCTGTAACATAGATCAATTACAATATACACCTGCTCACAGTGAAGCTGCAACCTACTCAACATAGAACTCATATATATATCGCCAATGATAGATCTACAAAGACAACAAACACAATGAGAGAGATGAAGGAAATTCGTACACTCTGTTGCACACAAATACAAAAGGTAATACTTGCTTTTCAAAATTCTACTTTCGTTTTTCTCTTCTTTGATTGAGTCTCTATGGATTCTGCGTAAAAGTACAGTAAGACTTTATTATTATTGCCGCCTAGGCACAGCAAAGTAATTATTATATAATCACTTTGAATTTCCATCTTGTCTCAGTATATAACCACCAATGTATAAGTTTATCATATATATGGCTATACACAAATGAGGAAACAATGCGCTTTGTCATTTCTCTCTCTTTGTCTGTCTGTCTGTCTGTCTGTCTCTCTCTCTCTCTCTCTCTATCTATCTATCTATCTATCGCAGTATTCTTTTTTTCATTTTTTTCTGTTTTTCTATTGATCCCAATCTTTTTTTTTCTATATTTGACTGGTCATATCTATCTATCTATCTATCTATCTATCTATCTATCTATCTATCTATCTATCTATTCTCCTTTCAATATCTATCTATCTATCTATCTATCTATCTATCTATCTATCTATCTATCTATCTATCTAAAATGCCTTTTACGCACGATTCCCTCTGCTATGAATATAAATACAATGCGTGTGTGTGTGTTTATACTCATATATACAAGATACGATGGGTATATAGTCGTCATTTTATATTTTTAATTTTACGCATGCGCGTTGTTTTTTTTTTTTTTTTGTTGACTGCATAGTATGGTAAGATCAGTTGGGCACCGTCTCTGAGAAAAGAGAGAACCAAAATTGTTCGCTGTTTTTAACTATCGCATTACTACTTCTACTGCCACCTAATTTTAAAACAATTTGATATCCGTAGGTCCTTACTTTCAGTAAAAAAAATATTTTTATTTCATTAGTGACTTTCACTGGATTTCGTAATTATTTCTGATTATTTTCAAATTCATTTCGAAGTTATAAAAAATGTTATATTACAAAAAAAAATTCGTCGCAAAAAATAACGTAAAAAATCGCCGAAAACAATCACAGTAATGAAAATTTGGGAATCCAAAATTACAGGATTGTGGGTCAGGATCTGTCCCGGAATGTTTTTAATTTGCTCACGAAGTCGGCCTGATTTCAAAATGTTATTATGTGTTGGGCTAAGAGTAAACTTGAAAAGTGTCACAAAGTGACACACTGACTTCGCATTATTATATATTAAATTTCCTAATAAAAATATGTAAGTTACATATGTCATTCATACCAATTAATATGACACATAAATAGATGAAGTGTATACTGAAGAGTTGAAAGAAATAAACCGTTTTTTTTTTAGACAATTCACCCCGAGCAAGGCGGGAGTGCCACTAGCACGCAAGGGGTTACAGAGGATTGAGAGCATGAGTAAAGAGGCGTGTTTGAGGAAAGGATACAGAGAAGGACAGAGAACAAGTTCAGAGTGTCATATGTCGATTGACATTACACTTGAATATTTGAAGATTAGAGTCATTGGGGAAGCAAGTAAGGGGAAGTTAGTTCCCCCAGACGGGTAGTGCGGAAGAAGCTGTTTGAGAAGAAGGGACGGTTATATTTAACCGTTTTAACTGTGAAAAGGTAGGACCGAGATGCCAGCCTGGTAGCTCGTTTAAATTCATATAGTCCGCAAACCAGCGAAAGTAGCTCGTCGAAACAGTTGATGTGAAAATATATGTAGAAGAGACAATGGGAGGCGACAGAACGTCTGTGGGATGGCGATTATAGACTAGATGACAGATCAGGACCTATCATCTTGCATATTCGTCTCTGGGTTTTGTCAAGAACCTCGAAACGTACAGCGAGAGATCCAGACTATAAATGACAACAATATTCCGTGCAGGAACGGATGGTTGATTTATAGATTTGAAGGATGGTCTCCGACGAGAAAAACTTTCTAGCACGACACAGACAGACAAATATTTTTGCGGTAGATGAAGCTATTGATTCAATGTTTCTATTCCACCTCATACCAGTGGACAGCTTGAGACCAAACAGACATAACGAGGCGCTCTCAAAGAGTTGGGAATCAGCCCTTCCGATGAGAGGCAGGAAAGGTTCTCTGGGTGGATCAAGATGAACAGTTTCGTTTTGGAGGCATTAAAGTTTAAAAGACATTACCTGACATAAGACGGGTCATAAGCAATGGCATAGGGAAAAGCAAAGGACGTTATCTTTTTAAGAAAAATAAATTTATTAACAAAATAAAACTTATATAAACAAATGTCTTTACAGGATACAGGCAGGGTTTGTTAAAACCATTCTTTTTGATTTCCTGGAGAGATTGTGTAGTAGGGTGTGGTTTTAATTTTTTCGTGTGTTCGTTTGTTTATCACACCCAAACGTCCAACCATAAAAAGAGCAGTTTTAGTTTTTAATTGCTACATTTTACTCTTTCCGTTACAACGTCTTTGGATGTGCATATCTTTTTTTTCGAAAACCTCAGAGGATATTTTTGATCACTTGATACTCTCATGTCAATCATTGTGCAAAAACTTTTTCCTTTCTCTTTTTGATAATAATGTCTTGGATTGTATTGTTCGATCTGTGTTTATAAAAAATCACCAGAGCAATGTAACATACGTTTCCTCAAGTATAGTTTCAGTATGATGTTCATACCAGTTTGCAGCTGTTTTTATTCAGAATGATGACAAGTCTTTCATTGTAGATATTGACCTACATTGTCATGTAGGTGATCTTACTTAATGGGTGTGAGTATTGAGCATCTTGTGACAAGGTGTTCCATAGTTCAATGTATTGATCGCAGAACCTATATTTTGGGTCAGTACTATTACGCCCGATTATAGTCTGGAAGTTGTGTGGACCAAGTAGATAGAAGCGTCGGTTGACTGATCAAAATAAGTCAGACCCTCAGAGTTGTGGGTTCAATCTCTGACCACAGCAGAGAGAAGAAAAACTTGACGAACTGAGTTATCAAGGGGAATTAACTAAATCAAAGATATCCAAAAGCATATATGTAATTGGAACAATCTACCCTCGAGAACTAAATAAAGGTTACGGTTCGAATTTCCAAACGTCCCCTTATGAAGTCCAGTATCCTTTCTGTTAATTCGACTCAAATAATAAAAAGTTACTTATCGTAAATATTAATTCGTTCCAAGAAATTATAAATTTTAAATCTGTTTATTAAATTATCTTGAAATTATAAATCAAATTTGTTTAGCTTACCTCGCAACAACTCCAACACTCAGAATACATAATTACCAAAAATCAGGGAGTAATCCACATTTCGAAAGTGCGAATGATTTTCAAGGTACTTACATGTGTTTTTTACAATTAAAAAAAAATCTGTTTTTGGCTTCTTTATCGAGGCAACGAAAAAAATTAACGCATATGTCACGCCCAAATTTAGGTTGATCACCCCAACAATAATGCAGTGGAAGTGCCTCGATCTGGGAGATGTTGGCGTGAATTTTAGTAAATATAAATTCTTTCCATTTTGGGGTGAATTAGTATTTTTGGTTGAATTAACAGCAAAAGATACCAAGGTTGGAGTGTACAAACGCCGAAATGACGGGAATATGACAATAAAAATGAGGACAACTGTCCGAACAATATAAATAGTGTAAATATTATTAGTATTATTTGCTCTTTTTCGTATTGCCAACAACCATTGTTGCTTTCCCTTTTAATTATGTTTCTTTTTTTTGCGTTAATTAAATGTAATCAAAGAATGCATATCAGTGGAGAAATGTATCGACAACAGTTTTATCCCCTTGTAAATACAGATTCTTGTTCAATGTATGCATGTCCATTAAAAAACTGTATTTTCTAATGTGGTTTGGTTTGGTTCCTTTAAAGACATATCAACTCCTTACCGGCTATTTAATGCCGAAATTTATATTCTTGTGAACTTTGGTATTTTTTTTTCCTTTTTTCCAATAATGTATTTCTTGTAATTATTTTTTTTTACTATGAAAATGTATTTCTCTTAATTTTTTCTAATATATTTTTATATTTTCATTCTTTAGCTCAAGTGTGGAGGTTAACTATCTTCCCATAACTGGGACCCTATCAAGTGCTACCACCCTTGGTCCAGGTGAATCTGAGAATAACAGTAATTAAGACACGATTCTATGCTCTTCAAAACCTCAGATCAGAGGTCTTGGCGTATAAGTTAATTTAAACTAATGGGACTTATTATTTTCCCGATATACATAATTTCAGATATATTTTCAGAGTTTTTTGCGTTCCTCTCTTTCAAAGATAACTTTAACAGGAGACTGAAATATTTAGATAGACAGGATGACTCTAAATTGTTATGACAATATACATTACTTAATTTCGTCTCGTAATATTTTCTTTGATTATGCGATCTAAAATTGAACAAAAATATAACGTTTGAATACTGAGTATCAGACGAAGTAAGGCTATGGAAATCATTGATGTAATTGGTAAACTTGAACCGTGATTTCCGTCTTTGTTCAAGTACAGCCAACAGGTTTATTCGGGTAATCTTCGTTTGAGTCATCTTTTGATAAAATATACGTATGCGAATTATGTACATATTACTGGAACTCATTGTGTCCTTTGTCTGGAACATTAAATACATTCTTTTATTTATAAGTGCATCCTATGGAACTAATAGCTGAACGTTTTGTGCACATAATGTTTATACTGAGTTGGGATAAGATCAGATATGGACGTGAATCCAATAGAATGATAGATGAAAGAACAAATAGGAAATGTTTATCAACCTAAAATGCTTTAATTTTATTATATTTATTATTTCTCCATGTACCAGAGAATGGTATATGGAGAAAATATTTATACTCCAAGAAATGTCCTTGTTTTTCGCTTTGAGTACGTTTTGAGTAAGTTTTGGGCAAATTTCTCCCTATCCCCACAAGTTCAACTCTACTTTAGACTTGCAGTCATATCACGTTGATACACCAGTTCCCGTACGAGCACTGAAGTTAAGCAACATCGAACCAGGTCTGTACCTAGATAGGTGAAGCCTTGATTATACCTGGTGCTGTAAGCAACTGGTGTAACGGACAATGGCTCAGAATTGTTAATCGTAGAGCTGAATTCCAATTGCAGTTTTAACCTTCATATTCATTTACGAGCCAATACATTTGGGAATCCACCTCTTCTCCCCCAGCTATTGGTTAATTAGTAAAATTTGTATCACTAAATCATTACTAACTCCCAAAAAATTTAAATAACATGCAAAGCGTTGATAATCCGTAGAAAACGAATCACTCAACACTGCTTCATCAGAAGCATTTTTCAGATGTCTTCAAGGACACATGGCGCAGTGGATAAAGGCGTTAGTTAGATCCAGTGAAAGAACACAAAGAATGTGAGTTCAATACCCGTTGAAGACAGTGTTGAACTTTCAGAGGGGAATTAACAGGAGATAACTGATATTGACATCTAACATGGCCCGCGGAACTAGAACAGTCTACCCTAGTGAGCGAAATGAAGGGTTCAGTTCGACATTCCAACCACGTGAAGAAGGTCGTAGCGTACAACGGCCGAAGCGTTGTAATAAATATGGCGACAAAGATGAGTACAATAGTCTGAATAATGTAAATAATGTATATTTCATATGTGTTAGTTTGCTTTGTTCTCTATGCACATATGGTCAGCAATACGTGCTTTGATGGTTTTTTCTCATGGACTTCGTAAGTGCTGTTGTGCGTTTTTTTCTATGCACACATGCTCAACAATATGATAATTTGAGAGTTTCTCCACAGATTTTGCATGTATTTGCATGACGTCATCACTGTTCACACGTGCTCAATAACACGTAATCTGATAGTGTTCCCATGAATTTCGTATGTGCAAGTATATCTTGTCCTTGATCAAAATATCTTCGGAAATCTATCTCCGTGAATTTCCCATGTTTGAATTTCCCCGCAAAGGTTTATTAATACTTGCTTTTATTTTCAACGTCGTCTTTTTTTTCTGAGAAAAGGATTTTCATTGATCATAATGCATTATAGTTTTCATACGTTTGTGGAGAAAGAATGATAGTAATGAACATGAGAAGCCTATTTTCCTGAAAAAATGTTTTAAGATTTTATAAAATTTAGCTGAAAGTAATGCTGACTGCTTGGTCAATGAACACTGAACATTCCTTGGTTCCGCTAGTTTTAAGCTTCACAGCTGGGTCAAACCATGCAACTCATATGGTAGTAAATCACCCACATTTCCTCTGTATTCCAATGGTGATAAGACACTTCGTCTTGGGAACCACTTATCTTTGGAACAGACTCCCAAGAGGATATTTCCCCAATCACTACAATCTTAACCTATTCAAGTCTAGGGTTAACCGTTATCTTCTTTATCTATCCATATAAACTACCCCTTATCGTAAACCCTTACATTGAGTAGCCATTGGGCCTTGCACAGGGTGAAACCTTACTGTATAAATAATTATCAAAACAAAAAACAAAAGAAAAAAAACAACTGGAATGTATATCATATGTGACAATAATAGAAAATAAGGACATAATTAAGATGATCACTTTCCACACTACCTTAAACAAAAGGTTAGGAAGGAAACTCCATATTATTAGCGGATTCCACAAGTTCCGTGACAGATCATGGCTTTATACTTATCTAGAATCTAGAATCCTTTTGTATAAATAGCCTATAGGCCAAAGACTTTTCGTCACTTTAACCTGGCTTTTGAAGAAACAATTAAAAATGGAAGGTTAGATACCATTTCTGTAAATAATATGCAAGCTAAATTCGTGTCAGAAAGATTTTTCTTCCTGCAGTGTTTTATTATATAAGGAATGCTAATAAAAATAAGATATACAAGAAGCGCAAAATCAAAACCACTGAGAGATGGTATGCCCAACAGCCAGACACAGTTATCTATAATAAAGATGTAACTATCCTCTGGGACATGCCAATTCAAACCGACAGGGAAATCAAAGCCAACAGACCTGATATTATCATAAAAGACAGAAAATTTAAGAAGTGTCAGTTTAATGATATAGCAGTACCTTCTGAGAGAAACAACTCCATAAAAATTATCGAAAAATTGTCCAAATACAAGAACCTGGAGATCGAGATTAGCAGGATGTGAAAAATGATGACTGAGACTGTACCAATAATAATCGGAAATCTGACCACGTGAGAAAAGGAATAGACAATATTACTTACGGTGTCCTAGGTAAC